AAAGAGTTAAATCAGTGAAGGATTGAAATCATTGCTGCTTCTTTCCGTACTTAGTGGACCATTACTGCCTTTGTTCATTTGTCCTGGGTTTGGTTTCATGATGCTTTTCACTTCTTGGTTAATAATTAGTTTATGATTATTTTACCACTAGGAGTTTGCAGTCCCTGATTATCGTTCTTCTCATCTCGAAGTCAGTCAGGCCTCACAGCTCTTGCAGCAGCAGCAGCAGCAGCAGCAGCAGCAGCTTCGCAGACGACCTTCCCTGCTTTCAGAGTTTCACCCAGGTTCTGACAGGTAACAGGCTTTCTTTTATGTTTCCATCCAGGACTGAACTTGTGTCATTTACTTTATTACTTTAATTTTGTTATATCTATCTTGTAATCTTATTAACCAAGCTGTCATTACAGTTTATATTTTGAGCTCTTTTATATTTGTTGACCTTTTGGAGTAGTTGTCATAATAGTTAACAAACACTTAAAAACTTGTTTCCAGAGTTCCGAGTTAATGCTGTGTAGTGGGCAATCAGGTTGACCTAGGTTTGAATCCTGGTCGGCTGTTGTGGACTTTGTAGCGTTGTGTAAACAGGTGTTCTCAATTCAGGCTGCATATTAGGACCACCTGGGGAGGTTTAAAAGCTTGATTCCCAAGTCCCATCCCAGAATAATTAAATGAGTCTCTGGGATTGGGCCCAGGTCATTCTCATTTGCAGACAGGGCTGCCAGTCAGTGATTTAGACTTCTCAGACCTTAGTTTTCTCCCTGTAAAAATGAGGATAATAATGGCATTGTCTGCAAAGGGTAAGTATTTGGTCAGGTAATGTTGGCCCTGTCCATGGCAGGTACTCATTTTCTCCAGGGTCCTTACCATTTCTGTGATCTTTTACTCCATTCTCACTCTTAATCGGAAGGATTTTGAAGTTTTGTTTTAGCAGTTTTGTAAAGAAACTGATTTACTATTTTAAAAATATGATTACTGTTTAGGTTTTAAGATGATAAAAGGTTTGAAATTACTCGGCCATGCTTAAAATCATTGTAAAATGCATTTCTTGGTGAAGGTTGTGGAGAGAATTCACATCACTCTCCTCTACTGTCTAGCAAATATACGAAGATGGTTTTTTTAAAAAGGGCTAAAAATGCACCCTGCATAAAGAAGTAAAGGATACAGCCACTGCCATAAACTTGGAAAAGTGGCATTCAGGGAAGGAATGAGAAGAATATTGCACAACTTGGCCTCCTAGTTCCTACTTTTACTCTCAAAGAAGCAGTGTTGAAGAAAGAAAGAAGGGTAGTGCAGTCGTAGGATTTCTCATGATTGCTCCCTAATTTGGGAAGACATGAGTGGGGGTGATGATGTGGCTTAGGAATCCCCATTATGCCGTCCTGCAGGAAGGATAGTTACAGCGTGCCACTTTCCAAGGTGCTGAGCCAAAGCCGTCAGGACTGCTTTACATGTGCGGCTGGTGGAGCGGGCCGGGATCCTTAGCAAAGGCTGTCACAGCCCCATCCCAGTTTTCCCCTGATTTGCCCCACTTTTCTGTTTCCTCGGGCTATATACTTCCAGAAAAGTATTTAGAAAGCCATATCCAGTTCTCCATCTGTAGACAAACACATTCTAGGCAAAGTGGGGATGAGCAAGTAAAATGCCCACACACCATTCCACACCAAAGAGGAAGTCTGGGTAAGGTTGCTCATAGTATGCCTGAGCAGGAGGGTAAGGGATGCCATGAACAGGGAAAACATATTCCTGGAAAGGAAGATTAAAGCAATACAGTGTTCCAAAAACAAAAAAGACCTGTGTGTGTAAAGAAGATGAAAAACAAAGAACATGCTCCGTGAGTGCTGTGCACTGTAGAACTTAAAATTAATAATGAAGTATGCAAAAGCAAAATAAGGCAACCATATCAGATAAAATGAAAGATTGGACATTCCTGTGCCCCCAAGACCACCATTTTAAATTCAATATATAAAGTGAGAAGGAACAAGGAATAAAATAGATGTGGCTGAAAGTCAGACCTTTGTCTTGGGAGAAAGGTCTAGAAATGATCAGAGTGGATGCAGAAGAAAAGGACAGAGATTAAAGCAATTAGAAAGAAGTGGATAAATAAAGAGGGCAAATTAAAATCATCCAACATGTCATAAGAACATGTGTTTCCGAGGTGGAGAACCTGGTAAAGGAAAGGAAATAATATTCATAACTTTAAAAAAAAAAACCACTTTTTTTCCCTTTAAAGTAAAGGAAGAATTCAATAGGTTGATAGTACATACCTTGCTCCAAGAAAAATTTGCACAGAATGATCAATACCGAGACAGATCCTGGTTATCATTAAAGTTTAAGGCTAAGTAAAAGAATCAGGAATCCAGGAAGCAAAACACAAGTCCTTGATAGGGGGAAAGGAATCTGACAGAAGATATTAATAATAGAGCAATAGCTACAGAGTTCTGAGAAAAAGAAATTGAGATCCAAGAATATTATATCAGACACGTTTAAAAGCAACAAGCAGACGTTTTTAGACATGAAAGCACTGAGCATCTAAAGCTTCTTGAAGAATTTCTGCGTGATGGAATCCAGTCAAACAAAGAACGGAAGCTGTGGTAAAAGGACTACAGTAGCCATAAACCCATTCAAGTGGAAAGTCCATATGAGACATCTCGATGAATTTTGGTTCTTCAATGGAATATCGGTACCAAATCTTGACAAAGTAAAAATAATATAATTATCCCAAATCAGAGGTACGATAAGTATTGGGAGAATGTTTAAAGGTATGCATTTGAAAAGTGTGTGTGGAGACTTCCCTCATGGTGCAGTGGTTAAGAATCCGCCTGCCAATACAGGGGACACGGGTTCAAGCCCTGGTCTGGGAAGATCCCACACGCAGCGGAGCATCTAAGCCCGTTCGCCACAACTACTGAGCCTGCGCTCTAGAGCCCGTGAGCCACAACTACTCAGCCCACGTGCTGCAACTACTGAAGCCTGCGCGCCTAGAGCCCGTGCTCTGCAACGAGAGAAGACATTGCAACGAAGAGTAGCCCCTGCTTGCTGCAACTAGAGAAAGCCCGAGCATGGCAACTAAGACTCAATGCAGCCAAAAATAAGTAAATAAATAAATTTATCTTAAAAAAAAAAAAAAAGAAGAAAACTGTGCCTGCAGTGATTTGATGACTTCTAAAATGGAAATACGTTAGGTTAAAAAAATTAAAATCATAATTTTAATTAATGCTCTTCATAATTATTTTCCTAACCCTTTAGCAAGAATTTTTTGTTTTTTGGCGGTATGCAGGCCTCTGACTGTTGTGGCCTCTCCCGTTGCGGAGCACAGGCTCCGGACGCGCAGGCTCAGCGGCCATGGCTCACAGGCCTAGCCGCTCCGTGGCATGTGGGATCTTCCCGGACCGGGGCACGAACCCATGTCCCCTGCATCGGCAGGCAGACTCTGAACCACTGCGCCACCAGGGAAGCCCAGCAAGAATTTTTTAGGAACTGATTTCTTGTGCTAAAGGAGTGTTGACCTGGAATATAGCAGTTCTTTCCTTTATTTCATTTCATTGTTTTTCTTATATACGTATCTGTATAAAAATAAACCAAATATACTGTATTTAAAAAATACGGTGATTCTTGTGTTGTTTTATTTTTGCCTGTATATCCATACATCCATATATAAAAATGATGTTTGGGAATGATATTCACCCCTAATAATAGTTGTTTCTGTGTGGTGGGATTTGGGGTGATTTGCTGTTTAGTTCTGTCATATATTCCAGGAATTTTTTTGTTAGCAAATGTTTATCATTTTATAAACACAGCACTCATAAAATGTAAGAGTCATTTCTGTGTGAATGTCATTCATCATGTTTTACAGATTTCATTGGAAAAATTAGTCCAAATAACATTTTAGAGTATTTGGATATTTAGATAAGCAGATACAGAACAACTGAGGTAGTTTCAGATATTATAAAAGATTCACTGAAACTCAGATAATTGGTTTTCCCTTGAGCAACAAAAGAGGCCAGATCATATTTATACATTTTTAAATTTAAGTGAAATTAATTTTGTTTCAGACAACAGCCTTCCTTAGCTGGGAATAAATAAAATAAATTGATGTAATTCTAGATGGTCTTTGTGGGCCACTATTTTTTTTTTTTTTTTTTTTTTTGCGGTACGTGGGCCTCTCACTGTTGTGGCCTCTCCCGTTGCGGAGCACAGGCTCCGGACGCGCAGGCTCAGTGGCCGTGGCTCACGGGCCCAGCCGCTCTGCGGCATGTGGGATCTTCCCAGACCGGGGCACAAACCCGTGTCCCCTGCATCGGCAGGCGGATTCTCAACCACTGCGCCACCAGGGAAGCCCCTCGGCCACTATTTTGAATAGCTATGAAGTTTATGACATATTTCCCCTAAATGGGGGTTATCTTTTTTTTTTTAAGAAGTTGAATATTTTATTTTTAAACTGTTTCTTATTTTCCTGCAAGGCTGTTGCTTCACTGTATAAAAATAGCACCAGCAAACACAGTGTACTGCAAAATTAAGATAGTAATGTTCTTCATTGGACACTATATGACAAACTTTTCTCCATTGCCATTTATTTCCAGTGGCAAGTTCATTGAGTATTTTTACCCAAATCCAGGGATGGCTGTAAACAAGTTACAGTATTATATAAGGTTAAGATAACAATGTTATCCTTGAATTAGATAATTTTTATAACTAGTTTTACCGCAGATAATTTCAGGAATTCTGAATATTATAACTGGAGACTAGCCTAAAAATCACAGGGTGTTGTGAAAAAGATGCATAGTGTTTATCTGAAATCATTAGGAAGTTTAGGGGTATTTTCTTCAGGCAGCATTGTTGCGAGTAGTTTCTTTTGCTAAAAGTTGCTTTTTAAAAATCTGTCCACCACTAATTTAAGGCTAGATTAAGTTGTTTCAAACTAGTTTATTTAGGGGTTCTGTTTTCACTCCTCAATAGATTTTATGTATTTCTCATATGCTTCCTCACTCATTAGTTCATCTAGTGCTGAAGGGTTACTGAGGGTCATCTTTTTTTTTTTTTTTTTTGCGGTACGTGGGCCCCTCACTGTTGTGGCCTCTCCCGTTGCGGAGCACAGGCTCCGGACACGCAGGCTCAGCGGCCATGGCTCACGGGCGCAGCCGCTCCGCGGCATGTGGGATCTTCCCAGACCGGGGCACGAACCCGTGTCCCCTGCATTGGCAGGCGGACTCTCAACCACTGCGCCACCAGGGAAGCCCAACTGAGGGTCGTCTTGATCAGCCAACCATCTTCATGACAAGATTTGTTGAGAAGTCCTGGATTTTCTGCTAGAGCTTCATTAATTTCAGTTACTTCTCCTGATAGAGGAGAATAGAGTTCACTAGCAGCTTTCACACTTTGCAGAGCACCGAATTCCTCGTTTGTTCAGTTTTCTTTCAGCTTCAGGCAGACTACAATAAACAACCTCTCCCAAAGCTTCCTGTGCAAAATTGCCGATTCCCACTGTTCCAACAGCGTTTTCTGCTGTTACCCATTCATGTTTGTCTGAATTTACGACCCGACAGCAGAGCGGGTCCGGTGGGCAGCGCCCGGACGGCGCCCGCCCACAGTCCCCAGCCCTGCGGCGGGCAGGGACGCAGAGATGGCGCGCAGGCTGCAGACCGTGGCCCGCACGCTCCGCACAACTCGCAGCGCCATGTACGCAGGGGTGCAGAGGGTCTCCGTGCAGCATGTAGAGCGCCCCTGGCCGGCGGGGAGATGGTTTATCTTTTTTAAAAAATTAAAATGATTAGGTACATTTCAATAAAAAATTCATTTGATAAATTTGTTTTAAGGCTATTTAAAGATGATACTAAGAGATGATGAAAGTCAGTAAATTGTAGGGAATTTTAAGTCTAAAAGGCTACATAGATATTTTAGTGTGAAAATCTGTCTTTTTTTTGTTTTGGAAATACCACATTTTATTTTTCTATTCATCAGTTGATAGCTGTTTTCAAGCACAAATTTTTCTGTGACTATCTATATATTCCTTTTTCTTGGTCATATACCTAGGAGTAGGATTGCTGATTACATGGTAGTTTTTTTGTTTGCCATTTGGGAAACTACCAGACTGTTTACAAAGTGGCCACACCATCATACGGTATTACTTTTTTTTTTAAATCATTATTATTTAAAAAAATAAATTTATTTATTTTTAGCTGCGTTGGGTCTTCGTTGCTGCATACAGACTTTCTCTGGTTGCGGCGGGTGGGGGCTACTTTTCGTTGCAGTGCGCGGGCTTCTCATTGTGGTGGCTTCTCTTGTTGCGGAGCATGGGCTCTAGGCGCTTGGGCTTCAGTAGTTGTTAGCATGCAGGCTCAGTAGTTGTGGCTCACGGGCTCTAGAGCGCAGGCTCAGTAGTTGTGGTGCACGGGGTTAGTTGCTCTGCGGCATGTGTGATCTTCCTGGACCATGGCTTGAACCCGTGTCCCCTGCATTGGCAGGCGGGTTCTTAACCACTGTGCCACCATGGAAGTCCTGGGATTGTTTTCTTAATTTCACGTCCAGATTGTTCATTGCCAGTGTATAGAAATAAAACTGATTTTTGCATGTTGATTTTTTTTTTTTTTTAATCCTGTAACTTTGCTCTGTTCATTTATTAGCTCTAACATTTTTTTGTGGATTCTTTTGAGTTTTCTACATAAGAGATTGTGTCATCTGCGAATAGAAATACTTCTTCTTTTTCAATTTGGATGCCTTTTCTCTCTTTTCTTGCCTAATATTCTGATAAGAATTCCCAATACTATATTGAAAAGAAGTGGCAAAAACAGGCATCCTTGTCTTACTCCTGAAGTTTCCTACTCCAGTATTTTTTGTGACATCATTGTGAATTTTAAGGAGACAATAGGATCTTATGTCTTGAGTGAGATTTCAAATTTTTGAATTATAATAAAATTATAGACCTCAGGGTTTATTTTATCATCTATCCTAAAACCCAAACCCCATGATTAACTTTTCAATGAAAAGTTGTTTTGTGAGACATTCGTTTAAAGCTTGGCCATAGGTAAGAAGATGTCGCTTCTGTAAATACTTCGGTAGAAAATGAAAAGTCAAATTAACAAACACCCATACATAGTACTCTATACAGTATATCATGTAGAGAAATTAAAAACAGATTCCTGACCTTCAAGATACTTATGTACTTGGAGAAAGTAGACAAAATACATGTTTTAGGGGTCAGAATTATGTATTCAAAGTACTGTTGCATTCCCACTCAAGAGACTTGTTTTTAAGTCTTAATAATACGTCACAACTCAAGTCATTTATCTTTCCATGTGGCAGTTGCTGGGAAATATATATATATATATATATATATATATATATATATTTTTTTTTTTTTTTTTTTTTTTTTTTTTTTTTTTTT